TGAGATTTGAATGGTATGCACTTACGCATATCCTTGCTCGTTACATGTATTTTTTTTTATATTACATGCACACTAATTTTGCTGTAAATGTATAAAATTCCTAATGCAGTTATTATAATCTAGTACAACATTGTAATATCTTCTATATTGCTGCTTTCGTATCGATACTACTTAACGTTCTTTCCGGTCTCGAGACTGCTGGAAAGTTGCCCGATTTCGCATAAGGAAGTCTCTGTAGGATTTGCAACGATGTTCGGGGTTGTAAACGGGAGGAAGTGTTTAAATTAATTGGACCAGGTGGTGAAAACACGGAAAAAATCGACAGTTTTTTTGCGGGTTACGAGGGAGCATAGTTGTAGACGATCAAAGTCGATGGAAAAACGGGATGCAGGGAACTTGTAAGCCGGGGAGGGAACGGAGGAACTGGTTGCGTCGGGTGCAGGAAGAAATAAAAGCTGTTCGATAAGAATTAATTGAATGAATGTACCTAGAACTGCTTTGGATATGCAGCCTAGGGCGATGGTTCGAGGACTGGACGTCCTATTTTCAATAAAATTATTGAAATGTTGAAATTCTCTAAAACTTATTGACATAATCGCTCGATCCTCGGTATTTGAATTTACGAGTTTTAAACTATTAATTATATTGCAGCGAAATAAATCGACAATTAATTTGAAGCATTTTGTACGATGCATTCTAATTGTCATTCTTAATTGTCAATGTTCTATTGTTCTGGAGTCAAAATTCAGTTTCCATCGAATATAAAAAGAATTATTGAAAAACGCAATTACCGAAAAAAAATTAGTTTTTACGAAAGAGATCTTAAATTTGTTAATTTATATTAATTCAAGCCAAAAATTTGTATAGTTACTATGTAATTATAGTTCTTTAATGAAAATATAATTTTTTAGTTGGTTTACTATTTATTTTGAAGGGCAGATGAATAATTTTGTAATTGCAGTATTAAAAATAAATGAGACATTTCGACATATAAGTCAACTGGACCGAATATGACAACTGAGGGTTAAACACGAAACCTTGAAAAGATTTGTCGTTCGGTCGGACAGTCGCCTAAAACGTTGCGCAAGTAAATCACGGATAACAGTCGGAATTGTACAGTGAAAGTAGTTCAAACGACTAATAGATCATAGCAGACAGTGCCGCGCGTTGTTCAATTTAAATCCGTCGCTTAGAAATCCGATGATGATAATTACGATATGAAAATTTCTCTATTGAAACTATGCGGGCGATACGGATCACCAGCTAGCGATCTAGATTGCCCTTTTCATTTTAAAGATCACAGCTAGACTCAACAATCCGTGAACAACTCTATCGTTCAAATTCATTTTTCTATATATATTTTCCATAATGTTACTATGATATTAAATTTATCTGAATAAATATATTACAAAATATTGGATTGGCAACTAAATGATAGACTTTTTACTTGAAATCCGCAATCACTTACTTCCCAACCTAATAAACGAAATAATTTTTAAAATTGACATCACAGAAGTGTTAAAAATCCGTAGTTTATCTTTCAAAGTCTAAGTTACGATTGTAATTGGACACTAACATCAAAATTTTTAGAACGCCCTGGGAATATTTAATTCCACCGTAGATAAATCGATACTGATTGATGGAAGAGATAGAAGCCGAGGAAGAAGGACTGTGATCATAGATAGGCGATCGGTTGATGTACCGACACGAATTCTCCTTCACCGAAAATAGAATCACGAAGCGTGTATCGACAATCCCGTACAGAAAAGAACGCGTGTTCAACAGATAGAACCTGGGTGGGCGACGTCGCTCACGTAGATGACGACCGATACGAACAAGGCTGTACATCTAAACAGCATCGTCTAGACCAAGGGACAATAGAAGAATAAAAAATATCAAGCAAACAAGCTACCAATGCCTCGGGTCGTTCACGATCGAGCCGGAGACAGAAGCACTCTAGGTGTGCTCTGGGGCAAGGAACGATCACCGGAGTCCTGGAGAACGCTTTCACTTAACGCGGGAAGCTCGGACACGTGGACCGATTCAAAGGCCACACCTCGGAAGCTTTTCTCCGTGACTTATGCAATTCCTGAACTATTGTTTGAGATACGACTCTCTAGATACTGACTTTCTCGAAATCTTCTGCACACAAAAGGCAGTACATGATTAATAGTAATCCTTGACCTCGCGTGTCAGATTGATACAGATAACTTTTACTATTCTGATGTTTTAATACAAAATTACAACGACTTAAAACTAAGAAGACATCATTAAAAGATTCACGGTTTATCGATTTTTAATGACGAATGTTGGTAGATGAAAATGAAAAATTATTTTTAATAAACAGAAAAAAATTTGTAAATTGACATTTGCAAGTTCGCAGTCTAACTATATCACGATTGTAGTATTAAACGGGTGATTGATAAGAGAATGCGAATTCCGTTTGAGACGAGCGTGTGAAATCGAGGGGACGGGGTTAAAATCTGACGAACCTCGGGTCTACGACCCCGCGGGCGCCACGGAGAGGCATACTACACACGGGGCCTCTTTCTCTCGCTATGGCGTACAGCCACTTTGCCACGACACAGCCATAAACATCTCTGAATGGAGACCACCCACCGGCCTGCACACTTCTCGGAACTGCACTCGCGCATTTCACAAGAACACCGAACGAACGAACCGCCGGCCGCGGCGGCTCGACTTCGACTTTTGCGTGGCTCTACGTCGTTCCGCGGTTCGAAAAACTTCTACCGGTCATTCCGCATCCTCGAACAGCGCCAGGCGTCGTCCATCTCCTGACCCGTCCTCCTCCCCCGCGCAGGTTTCCCTTAACTCATTTCAGTTTATTGGAGGGTGTCAATTGTAATTTTAATCTCTCAACGGCCGCCAAGTTTCATGGAACGCGGCAACGGCGACCGTTTTCCATTTCCATCTTTTCTTTCGACGTCCCTCACGACTTCGCTTATTATTTTCTTGCCGGCCGCTCATTTTTGTCGCCGTTCTTCCTTATATCCTCGATTTGACATGCATGTCCCGGGGAAAAATTTTCTTCATTCGACCGGGCACGGCTTGGCCACGTTTCGCCGTATTCGTTTCTTCTTTTCCGAAGAAAAGCTGCGCTCCGGGCAGTGTAACCGCGATGGGGAGAATTTACAAGAGCGAGGAGAAGAAAAGCAAGCGGCGCGCCGCGGAAAGGAAACAATGTGCGAGGGGCGGCGGCGCGGCGCGCAGCGGTCGTGCAAACACCGGCCAGCCCGATTTCACGGTTAGTCGTAAAACATCGCAGCCACCAGCACCTCCTGCCTGCCTCGGTTTATGCAGGTGCATTCGGCCTCTCGCGGAAGGTGTAAGCGCAATTTATACGCGGCTAAGCGCGTACGCGATGAAAAAAGCGGATCGCTCCTCTCTTCTATCGAAACTGCGAGATTGTAAAGCTGCTTCGTCTGATCCGCGTTACCTGGGTAGTCTACAATTACGCGTCTGTGTATTCTTCATATTAGATACAGGACACGGATAAATTAATCTGATTTGAATAGAAAAAGATCGCTGTGTGGCGTTCGCGAATGTCATCTCTCAGTAAGACGCGCCACTATAGTGGCTTTCGCGGGTCTTTGTGTTGTACTGTGTTTTAAGA